AAGCCGCACCCCTTTCGGAGTCGCCGACCAGCCCCGGGAGGCGGCGACGAGCCCAACGCCTCGCCCTGGAGGCAGAACAAGAGCCAGGGCAAGGACCGCCCCGCGCGCCAGCGGTGCCGGCGGGCCCGCTCCGGCGCGGCGCCTGCGGCAGGCTCGCGCCGTGTCGTGTCGCCGCAGCGGCGACCCGCGCGGGCACTCGAGGTCCAACAGGGGGGGCCCCCTGGCGGCGCGGTGGCCGCACCGCGTGTGGTGAGTCGGCGGGGGCTCGGGGCGGCCGTCGCTCTCCGAGGACGTCTCGGGCGACCGGGGCCCCCAAGTCCAGTGCCGCCAGTGGGCTGGAGCTGGCTGATATCCAACGATCCGCGCGGGTGGAGAGCCGTGATCCTTCTATGTGGAACGATCTCATGACGCGGTGTCAGGACCCTCGGCGGCGAGCGAGGGGGGAAGCGAGGAAGGCGAAGGCCCTCCCAGAAGGCGGCGGGGCTTCTCAGGAGCCCTCCGGCCTTCTGAGAAGTTTTTGGCGTCTTCGGGGAAGGCCTAGAAAGCTTCTCAGAAGCAACTCTCGGCGGCGAGCGACGGGGGAAGTGAGAAGGAGAAGGCCCTCCCAGAAGGCGGCGGGGCTTCTCAGGAGCCCTCCGGCGTTCTGAGAAGTGTTCGGTGTCTTCGGCCCGGGAAGGCTTAGAACATTTGTCGGAAGTCCATGGGACTTCCGAGCCCTCTGAGAAGGCCCGCCCCGCCAGGCGCGCCCCCCTGCGAGGGCCCAGGCATTCTCGAGCAAGACATAGCGACGGCCGGTGTTTCCCCGTTCTGGGCCCTTGGAGTCTGGGAGGACGAGGATGATGATGATGATGATGATGATGATGATGATGATGATGATGATGATGATGATGATGATGATGATGATGATGATGATGATGATGATGAGATGATGATGATGATGATGATGATGATGATGATGATGATGATGATGATGAGGAGGAGGCCAAGTGGAAACCCAAGAGTCATCAACTATGTTGGAATTAACCCTCCCTCCAAGCTCCCTCTTCATAGGCCCCTACAACGGTTCTTCACTTCCATTGAGGGAACTGCGTCGTTGGAAGACAGCAGTTTGAAGATCCTGCAGCGTGCCGAAGCATTGTTCTCTGGATTTCAACGCCACGTATCAACCTGACTGCTGCGTCTTGACGATCCAGAACCGCGCCAGAACGTCATTTTTGAGACTTCGACATAGCGAATCCACATGATTGTTGCGCCCGTATAATCCTGAAGCCTTCCAAAACAGCGTTTCTGGTACGTTGATCATGGAAATCCGTGAAATTCTTGCAAATTTTAACAAGACTGTGCGCGGCGCTAAGGCGAGAGCCTCATTCTGAAAAGGGACCGCCCTCAATCCGCGAAGCCCTTGCAGTTTTTTAAAAGGAATGTGCGCGGCGCTAAGACGAGAGCCACATTTTGAAAGGAACCGCCCTCAATCCATGAAACGCTTGCAAATTTTAACAATGGTCGCGGCGCTAAGGCGAGAGCCACATTTTGAAGACCACCCGCCCTCAATCCGTGAACCTCTTGCACATTGTTTAAAAAGGAACGGGCGCGGCGCTAAGGCAAGAGCCACATTTTGAAAAGGAGCCGCCCTCAATCCGTTAACCTCTTGCACACTTTAAGAAAAAACAATGGTCGCGGCGCTAAGGCGAGAGCCACATTTTGAAAACGACCCGCCTTCAATCCGTGAACCTCTTGTAAAAATTAAGAAACATGTGCGCGGCGCTGAGGCGAGAGCCACATTTTGAAAATGAGCCGCCTTCAATCCGTGAGACTCTTGCAAATTTATAAAACGAATGGTCGCGGCGCTAATGCGAGAGCCACATTTTGAAGACCACCCGCCCTCCATCTGTGACGCTGTTGTCACTTTTTTAGCTTCGGAATCATAAGTGGTGAGGAAGTCTAGGGCGAAACGCCTGGCCCGCCCTAAAACATGGCCTCGGGGTGTGGCAGGGAGGAGTTTTCTATAAGGAGAAGGAATGGAGGAGGAGGAGGAGGAGGAGGAGGAGGAGGAGGAGGGAGGAGGAGGAGGAGGAGGAGGAGGAGGAGGAGGAGGAGGAGGAGGAGGAGGAGGAGGACGAGGAGGAGGAGGAGGAGGAGGGAGGAGAGGAGGAGGAGGAGGAGGAGGAGGAGAGGAGGAGGAGGAGGAGGAGGGGAGGAGGAGGGGAGGAGGAGGAGGAGGAAGGAGGAGGAGGAGGAGGAGGAGGAGGAGGAGGAGGAGGAGGAGGAGGAGGAGGAGGAGGAGGAGGAGGAGGAGGAGGAGGAGGAGGAGGAGGAGGAGGAGGAGGAGCAGGAGCAGAGAGCAGGAGGGAGGAGGAGGGGAGGAGGGGAGAGGAGAGGAGGAGGAGGAGGAGGAGGACGAGGAGGAGGAGGAGGAGGAGGAGGAGGAGGAGGACGAGATGATGGGATGCTGATGAGGAGGAGGAGGAAGAGGAGGAGGAGGAGGAGGAGGAGGAGGAGGAGGAGGGAGGAGGAGGAGGAGGAGGAGGAGGAGGAGGAGGAGGAGGAGGAGGAGCCATTGGCGGTGGCATGCCGACGGCGCCGGGTGCCGCAGGGGGCCTAGGGCTCATGATGGCTGGCGCCTGCGTTGGCCTGCTCGGCTTGGGCGGTGGAGCAGGCGCGGGTTTCGGTGCCCCCGGCCCGTGGCCAGTGGCTCTATGGCCCGTCGGTGGGGCACCTGCTGGCCTTGCGGAGCTTGCAGCCTGGGAGCGAGCCGGAGTCCGTGGTGATCGACGGCGGCGGCGCTCCGGTTGGTGCGGCGGTGGGGTCCGTGCCCGGCAGCTGGCCTCCTGACGGCGCGGGCGTGTGCGCGGAGGTGCAGTTCGTGGGCGCGGCGGCGGTGGCCTACGAGCCACTGCTGGCGGGCCTCTTCGGCATGGGCGGCGCGGTGCTCCATCTCCGCAGCAGCCCCGCCGCGGTGTGCGCGGGGGCGGTGCGCCTGGGCAGGCCGTCCCCACGGAGTCCACGCCGACGTGTTCATGCGGCGCGTGGCGCCCGCCGCTCCTCCTGGCCGGCCAGGCGATTGTCCTGCCAGGGGTGCCTGCACTTTCGCCTCCTGCTGGTGGTGCTCCAGGCGGTGCCAGGGCAGCAGCAGCAGCCGCCGCCGGGGCGCCAGCGGCGCCGGCGGCGGCTGGCGGTCCCAGCGCCGCTGGGAGCAGCACGGGCCCCATCAAGCCGAAGGGGGATCTCGAGAAGGTGAAGGCGGAGTTGGCCCGCAAGCGGTCCATCAGCTCGGTGCTGGCAGATCGTGCAGCTGCTCAACTATTCTTATTATTATCATTAGTGTTATGATTCTTACCATCATTGCCATTATTAGTATCAATCTTATTATTATTATTATTATTATTAGTATTATTATTGTTCGTATCATTATGATTCGTAGTATGAGTATTCTTATTCTTATTTTTATAATTATTATCCGTAAGGGCTTCGCCCCCTGCCGCCGGCCCCCTCTCTCGGAGAATGGGCCATGGAAGAGCTAAGTCATGAGGCTTTGGCGCTGTCGTGCAGCAGTATCGGAACTTCATGCGAGGCCGATTCGCAATCGGCAAAACCAGCTGATCACAAGAGGGGTTACCACACAGGGCGATTGGTAAGACGTGTATGGTTTACGAGCTTGGTTACCACACCTTGGAATTAAAGGGCCGAGGGAGTACTCGCAGTTTGGGTTACCACGCCTTGCGATGGATGTGCGTGAGGGGTGGCACCGAATTTCAGAAATGTGGCAAATCCCCTGTGTTTTTGGACCCTGACCCCGCGGATCTGCGTGAGGGGTGGCACCGAATTTCAGAAATGTAGCAAATCCCTTGTGTTTTTGGACCCTGACCCCGCGGATCTGCGTGAGGGGTGGCACCGAATTTCGGCAATGTAGCAAAGCCCTTGTGTTTTTGGACCCTGACCCCACGGATCTGCGTGAGTGGTGGCACCGAATTTCAGAAATGTAGCAAATCTCCTGTGTTTTTGGACCCTGACCCCGCGGATCTGCGTGAGGGGTGGCACCGAATTTCAGAAATGTAGCAAATTCCCTGTGTTTTTGGACCCTGACCCCGCGGATGTGCGTGAGGGGTGGCACCGAATTTCAGAAATGTAGCAAATCCCCTGTGTTTTTGGACCCTGACCCCGCGGATCTGCATGAGGGGTGGCACCGAGTTTCAGAAATGTAGCAAATCCCTTGTGTTTTTGGACCCTGACCCCGCGGATCTGCGTGAGGGGTGGCACCGAATTTCGGCAATGTAGCAAAGCCCATGTGTTTTTGGACCCTGACCTCGCGGATCTGCGTGAGGGGTGGCACCGAATTTCAGAAATGTAGCAAATCCCCTGTGTTTTTGGACCCTGACCCCGCGGATCTGCGTGAGGGGTGTCGATTTCGAGCCCCCCCAGCAATTCAGACAACGCGCCCAGGGGACGCTAAAAATCCCGTTTGGGCCTCCCCCCCCTCGCGCGGACAATCAATTAATTACAGTAACCAGCAAGAAGCAGAACTGTAACACTGGAAACTACAGGCTACAACTGGTACTGGAAACTGCGAACCCGTGCCTCGCAGCCTGGTGGCCCCACAAGGGGGCCAGCGGATTATTCATATCATAATATTATTATTACTAGTATCGTTATTACTAGTGTTATCATTATTATTGGTATTATTAGTATTCGTATTGTTAAGTTTTATCATGTATTCATCTCACTAGTAGTAGTATTAGCACTAATAATGATATTGTTAGTACTAATACTACAAGTAGTCATACTAATACTATTCATCGTAATAGTAATACTATTAATACTGCGGATAGTAAAACATTATTAATAATCATATTCGTAAGCGCAGGAAGATCAGCGCCAAGTCGGGATCGTCGAAGAGTTCATCGTCAAGTTTTCGTGGCGCCCCTCTACCTGGTTCAGGCCGCCGTATTCAGCAGATCAGCTCCGAAGAGCCTGGTGCCCTCATGTTGGCAGGGCTCGATCAGATCAAGAAGCTGTTGGCGCAGCGCGGGGGGCCAGGTAGTGAGACTGACCTGAATGAGATGGCGTCCGTGGTCGTGCAGTACATCCCTTCTGTGTGGCATGGTCGCCATCCGCCCTCCACCATGGGCGTGAGGAGCGTGTCCGAGATGAGGATGGTGGGGGAGTGCCTGCATTGTTGGCCGGCGAGCTGCCGCGTCTCGGCGACATCCTGATGCAGAGGCTGTAGGCCGTCGAGCAGGCGACCAAGGACGGGCATTGGCATGTGGCGCAGCACCTCGAGGTGAGCGGCGACCCAGCGGCCAGCCTGGCCCAAGCAAGAGAACTGCGCGACGCTATGGGCGCCTTCACGTCCGACGCGAAGCTGGCGGCCCACCTCTCCAGCATTGGCAAGAAGAAGCCTCCTTAGGGGTTTGGCCGAGAGGGCGGCTCCCGCGGGGCGCGGTCGCCTTCTGCCAAACGACGGGATACCGTTGCAGCCAGCGCCCCCATTGGCTTCGAGACCGACGCCGCCTGCGCCCCCAGCAGCTCCGAGGTCTGAGGGCGCGAAGCGACGGCAGCGGCGAGCCGTGTCGGAGAAGGCGAAGGCGGGTGCAGGACGCCCGCTCGCGATAGTGCAGAGCGGCAAGCTGAAGCAGCACCGAGGAGGAGGAGGACGAGCAGGAGGAGGAGGAGGAGGAGGAGGAGGAGGAGGAGGAGGAGGAGGAGGAGGAGGTGGCAGCCCAGGTCGCCCGACAGCTGGCGGAGCCAGGGACGCCCGCGAGCGCGCGGACAGGTTGCTCCCCCTCGCCCACGGGAGGCCGCGGGCCTTCCCCGCTGCGGACGCTGCCTGCTGCGGGCGCTGCAGCCCCGGCTGGGAGCCGCCTCGCGAGCCCGCCTCCCCAGCGGCGCGTGTACTGCGGCCCCTGACGCCGGTCGGGGTCGCGGGCGCGCAGCCGCAGCTGGCCAAACTCGCTCACTCGGTAATGAGGAGCACGGGCAGGAGCAAGGGCCGGAAGCCTGGGCCAAAGGGCAAGGGCAAGAGGCCTGGCCCGAAAGGCCAAGGCAAGAACAAATATTCTCTGAGAATGAGGAGGTTGGCAGCATCCGCTCTGCAACTTGTGGCACCTTGCTCTCTTTGTGCAGCTGGGAGAGTGAGAGCACGGAGCGCGCCCCCTTCGACATGGTGGGTGCGCCGTTTGCGGGGCCCGAGCCGTCCGAAGTTGGCGGAGATCGGCATTTTGCTGCACGCCTTGACATGCCGCTTCAGCACTCGTGTGTGGCTACGACCCTCCGCCAAGAGCTGGGGAGGGAGTTGTGGACCCCGCAGCTGAGAGGATCAATGCTTTTGTTGAAGTTGCGAATGCTTTGGGCTGTGGCGCTGTTCCCACGCCGCCTTCCACGCAGCGGAAACGGGGCTTGCTTCCGTTACCTTTGGCGAAGTTCTTCAAGTTTGAGATTGTCGCCGCGGATGTGCAGAGGCTGGGCAGTATCATCGCGCCCCGCCGGCAGTCAATGATTGGCTCGGGCTGGTCAAGGCTGGGCTGAACTACCGCTGCGGGCTGCTCGTGTTTCTTTCCCCGCGTGCCTGACCGCTACTGTCACCGGTGTGTCGTCTCACGCGCAGTTGCCCTATGTGTGTGCGTGTGGGTGGTGTTCTCACCGCCAAGTGTCCTGCCCTTCTGCCAGCCTTCTGGCCATGGCAATGTTATAGTTTCTACTGTGCCCCGTTCGCCCTCCTGGCACGTCGTTGCTTTGCCACTCGGCAGCTGCTCACCTCGTTTGCCCCCCCGGTCACCCATGCCCGGATGACCTATGGTTGGCCGCGGCGCTGGTAGCTCTGAGCGGCTTGAGGGATCGGCTGTTAGACGCGCGCGTGTTCTTTTTTCCGACTTTGGACGCTCTGTCGCTGCGCGCGGGGCCGCGACGCCAAAAAGTGTGTGTGTGTGTGTGTGTGTGTGTGTGTGTGTGTGTGTGTGTGCGTGCGTGCGTGCGTGCGTGCGTGCGTGCGTGCGTGCGTGCGCGTGTGTGTGTGTGTGTGTGTGTGTGTGTGTGTGTGTATGTGTATGTGTGTTTGTGGGTGTCAGTGTGTTGATGTGTCGGGGCCCAGTTGCTCCCGTTGTTATTTTTCCACCCGCGCAGCTCGGTTGTCGAGGTCTAAGCACTTTTTGCGGGCCTCTGCCTGTCTCCAGGCCGCGCCTGCCCCCTCACTAATTGGGTGCCTTCGCGCAGCCCAGCACCTGCGACGCGAGTGGAAGTCGACATGCTCGAGCGTGGCCCGTCCTTGCATTCTTGGTGGTGGTGGCGCCATGCTACAGAAGGAAGACGTGTGTGTGTGTGTGGGTTTCATGCCGAACCTCGTGGCTGCCACCTGGACGTGGATTGGACTACCACCCCAGGCCGCTACTGACCACCTGGTGGCACAACGTTGCACATCGTCTTCGTGGTCATCCTCATTTCCTGGGCCTCTCCCTACCAGTCGGTGGCACCTGGTGCACTTCGCCTACCTGGTCTTCCTCTACTTCACGGACGTTGACATGGTCATGGCCCTCCCCACGCAGCACTCGAGGATGGTGTTCCTGGCGCGCCGTTGACGGCCACACAATTCACTCTCCCTCCGGGACTTCGCCCCCGGCTCCTGTCCATGGTGTACCTTTTCCTGTGCAAGATCTTCGGCGCCGCCTGGACTCCGCACCCTCCGGCCGCCTGAGGCCCCGCCCGCCCGCGCCCTGTCTCCCCAATTGGTGCTTCGCGCGCCCCGCCGAGCTCTTAACCGGAAGGGGCCCGCTCCCGACCCGCCGACCAAAAGTGTGTGTGTGTGTGTGTGTGTGGGTGTGGATGTGTGCTTGTGGATAACTATTCCACCGTTTTGGGGAGCTTGCTCTCATGCGTCCATGGTCTGTTGGGCGCGCCAGCCCGTGGCGCGGCGCATTGCGACACGAGCAGGTCCCCATATGACAATCTTATTGAGGAGTGTTTGTGCTGCGCTCGCCTGCTCGCGCCCGTGTTGTATCGCCGCGGATGATCTATCGTCCGTCGCTATCTTCCGTTTGTCGTTGACATTACGTTTGTCTTCGTCTATGTGTTTGTATGTGCATTTGACTCTTGACGCTTGTTCGGCGCCGATGAATCCGCACCGCAGGCATCACGAATTCACCCGCGCAGCTTGGCCTTGACATGAAGTCAGAGTGACACGATCTTCCACCCCTTCTGTTGAAGCCTCCATTGGCCTCGCGTTTCCGGCCCAGCTGGCGGAAACACCGTGGTGTAATTTTTTTGTTAAAACAAATAAAATTCCGTTGTTCCATTTCGACGCAAGGCGGTTCATGGCAAATGTGGAATGGAACCGTCGCTGCTTCCGCGCATACGCAGCTGTGGCCGGCCATGGAGCCCGGTGCGTGGGAGGGGCTGCGGCTCGGCGGGCGGGCTGCCGCTGCGCCGAAACCGCGCGCGCACATCCACGGAACTGTCGGGCCAACGTCTGAGGTGGACACCAGCACCAGCATCGGCGGTGTGCTCGTGCCGGGTAGCAGTACCCAGCGGCCCAACTTCCGCATGCATCATATTGAAGGCCCACGCGATGGGCGTGTCGAGATAGCCAGCAGGCCTGGCACCATGATGAAACCCGACGCGCCGCCACGCTGTTCCCGGGCAGGCCGTGCCGCCACGCTGTGCCGGGAAATATCCGCCTAGCTTCCAGGCATTCTCCTTGGCATGTTTGCTGTTCGGGGGCCGCGAGAAATAGGCTCGCATGCCTTACCAGGAGCAGTGTACTTGGTGCTTCTCTTCGGCTGTTTGCCCTGCCCCTCCCGCCGAGTTGAGCTGGCGTTTCCTTCGTGGGCTTTCAACGCAAAGCTGCGCTTGGCAGACGCGATCGAAGCAGTTTCACCATGTATTATGGATTCGATTAGCTTTGTGCTTTATCATTTGCAGGTGATGTGTGACCTGCAGAATGCTCTTCGCTACAGGCTTGCACACCAGCCCTTTCAACAGTTTGTCGGTTTTGGCCCGTTTTCCGGCTTTCTCGGCGTTTCGCTGCTTATACGTGCGGGTTTTGATTGTGTTTTGCGGTATTGCCACGATGTGGGCCTTAACCCAAAACACCTCTCAAGCAAGGCGTTTCTTTTTTGCTACCGGCCAACGCAGCGTCGTCCGACTGTTACCCAAGGCAGCGATGTTACAGAAGACAGCTCGCCGCGTCTACCCCACTGGCAGCTTCAACTGCGAGCATAGATGGGCCCCCCCCCAAAAAAAAACGGTGTGGGGGGGGAAGAGGGGAGAAGCAGGCAGACGATGACGACGACGACGAACGCGCAGATCCCGATCTCGGTGATTGTGCTACTATCCGGTTCCCCGAGGTGACCGAGAGATTTTTCCACACACGCCGGAATCTCGGATCGTGTTTTCTGGAGGAAACATTCCCTTGTATCGGTGGTGGTGTCGAGTTCCAAGCTTTCAACAGAGTGCGCGATCCGCTGATTGGCGCGGGTCTCGCAGCAGCTGGCCACCTCGGCCCGCGGACGCCCAGGCCGCGCTGTCGGGCCTGCAAGGGTCAGGAGGGAAAGAAACACACAGACACAATTAATCGGCGATTCCTCAGAAAATACGGGAAAATATGGGAAGTGGGGGGGAAGACAAAAACCCAGAAAATATTTGAAAATATAGGGAATATTTTTATTTGTGTGTATTTATTTGTTTGTCCCAGGCCCCTTCAAAGGGGCCCTACTCCCAGCCTCCCTGGTGCTGTCCTTTCGATCGTGGGCCCCTCGTGAACCGCAGCCGTCCAGCCTTCGCGCCGACGGCCGCTGGAAGACCGCCAGAACACCGCCAAGGGCTGGTGGGTCACAAAACTCAGACCCCCGACGTCGTGATTTTTTCACGACGTCGATCCCCAGAGGTCCGGACCCTTTCCCTGGGACTGGTTTTTCATCCCGAGTCGTTTTCTGACGGTACCGAGGCCCGGGAAGGGCCCTAGAGGCCGAAAATAGAGAAAAACCTCCCGTCGTGATTCTTTCGCGGCGCGAGCAGGTCTGGGGAGGCCCATCGTCGAATGCGTGGGATCCACCGTCGAACGCGCAACTGTCCAACGGCCCCCTCCGCCAGCAGGCCTTCGGGCCCCGAGGGGTCTGCAGCCCGCCCCGGTCGACTGGAGCTCCCGGCCTCCGCCGCCGGGCTGCAGCAGCGGGCGCCGCGCAGGCGCGCCTCTCGGGGCGCTTGCCTCCGGGGGCGCGGCATGGGCACCTGTACCGATCCTGGCTGGGCCGACTGGGGCTCAAGATCGGTGCGTAAGGACATTTGTTGTTCAAACAAGTATGATATGTATAGGCATACGTTCATGTCTATGTCTGTGTATACGTGTGTATATATATACGTGTATGTATATGTATGTACGTGTATATGCATAATTATGTGTGTAAGTA